TAAAGGAGGGCAGGGCTCCTGAAAGAAAAGGACAATTGTACAACATAACACTTCATAATCAATCCAACGCAAAGGCCAACGCCGACTGAACGTAGGGTCGTTACTCGATCTACGATCGAGGGCCTGAACCAGGATAAATCGACTGTCTCTTGCGTTTACCATCGAGTTCAGCATACGCCGAAGCCCGAACAATACTGCCCCGGGTACCCCCGTGGCAGGCTATCGGTGGTGAAACATCGACACCCTGCCCCCGGACTATATAAGACGGGCAGGGACCCCCTCCAAATTCAGACAATATCATACGATAGCTAATACAAACCAACAGACCACAGGAATATGGTATTACGTCATACTGACATCCTGAACCTGCCTAACTCGTGTGTCTCTGTTGTCTTCTTGTTCTTGATCACACGCTTCTTTGCCGATCAATCTACCTTCATGGGATACCCCTCGAAGGACTACCGACGATATTCTGTCGACATAATTCCACAACTCCGGACTCTAGAAACGTCAAGAAGTGCCCCGTGCCCCTGTCTATCGCTCTATCTCTATCCATGCGCACGGAACTGCCCAGTCTCGACGGACACCGCGGATGCCGAAGACGGCGCAACCGCCCTCGCCTGCCACGCGCCCTTGTGGCCTCGCACAGGTGCTCGCCCAGGGGTGCTCGCGTAGATGCTCGTGTCGCGGCCTCACGTAGGTGCTCGGCCAGGGGCGCGCAATGTTCACCACTCTGCTGTCGCACCGGCGAGCTCCATACGCTGCCACCAACCTCCGCGTCGGCGTCGAGCTCCACAACGACGAGTCTCCATTCATCAAAGCAGCAAGTTGACATTGCGCTGAAAGCGCATGTTGCAAACGTATATTTCACGTGTTTCAAATGTTTTATTTGCATGTTGTATTTGTTTCACGTGGATGTTGCAAAAGTAGATTGGGATGTTACATATGTTGCAATAGTTATACTCATATGTTGCAAGCGTTTGTTTTAAATATTTCATCTGTTTTTTTCAGACGTACGTTGCAAGTGTGTTTATATGGATGTTGCATGTGTTTCACATATATGTTGCATGTGTGTTTTACCTGGATGTTGTATATATTTTGCAATGGCTTTTGAAGTGTTTTTAGGTATGTTTACAAGTGTTTCAGACATATATTGTAGGTGTTTCAACTGTTTCGAACACGAAATTTATGCTTTTTTATCTGCAACACTTCAACTGTGCAAGAAACTTGCTTTTTTTTAGAGCCCGTGGATTTTGAACAGATAATCACAAAGCACCAGGTTTGGTTTCATATCTGATCATGTTAATTACTTTCAACGGAGAAGACTGGAAATGGGATATACGAGTAGTGAATGTTTGATTTTGCCCTTAATAGAGCCTACTCCGTACGTGCGTAATAAGAGAGATTTGTCTTCTATGTAGTACGCATGATCCCTGCTATGTGCATCCAAGAGACATGAGTGTGTATATGTTTAAGGGCAGCAGGTTTTTGTCAGCTGTGAACGCTCAAAAGTCAGAAGCAGCACGAGACTCAAACAAAAACTACGGATGTGTTTAGTTCGTGAATTTTAGGAATTTGACTACCGTAGCACTTTGTTTTTATTTGATAATTAGTGTTCAATCATGGACTAATTAGACTTAAAACGTTTGTCTCGTAATTTTCAACCAAACTATATAATTAATTTTTTTCGTCTACATTTAATGCTCCATACACGTATCGCAAGATTCGATATGATGACTACTACAGCACTTTTTGAAAAACTTTTTAGAAACTAAACAAGCCCTGCATGCGACGAACAAATGATGTTGCGTTACGTTTTGGATTGTCCAGAGCTACAAGCTTTTGTCGACGAACTCAGCCGATTCAACTGCTTTACAGAGCAGCAAACACTCTGTCAAATTATTCAATTATACATACTCCAATGGTTATGTCAAGTAATAACCTTAGGCCTTGTTTAGATTGAAAGAAATTTTAACCCGATAAATAGTAGTACTTTCGTCTTATTTGGTAAATATTGTCCAATCATGGACCAACTAAGTTCAAAAGATTCATCTCGTGATTTCCAACTAAACTGTGCAATTAGTTATTTTTTTTACCTACATTTAATGCTCCATGCAAACGGCTAAAAATTGATGTGATGAAAAGAGAGTGAAAAAACTTGAAATTTTGAGGGTAACTAAACAAGGCCTTATATTGAATCTCGCTGAATATTCTTCATGTGAAGGGGGTATCTATTTCATTTATATGGACGCTAGCTGTCAGGAGTTCAAGTTCATCAGATTACCTACCTAAAAAAGAGTTCTAAGTTCAGCTGGACAGCGACGGCGGTTGCACGCGTCATAGGCTCTCAGGTCCCAATCATTTCGCAATGTCAACCGCCGCTGAGGTCGCCGCAGCGATTTTCTTTTCATCCCAGTTCCCAGTTGATGATGATGATGGGCCTCTCAGCTGCCATTATTCTGGATCGGAGCTCACTGTACGTCTGCACCGACGAACAGACGAATATCCTCATTCCCCCGGCATGTTCGCTGGATCGTTTCCGTCGCTCATAAGCTGGCTGGTGCTGTTTTATTGTGAGAGAAAAACATTGTAAGCATGACTGATACGTTCGAGCAAACATGGCGCTCAACTGAACTGAACTGAACAACTGAACTGATGAGAGCATCACAACCGCACGACAGCTCACTTGGTGCATTTGATTCGTCGAGACAGCTTTGAAATTTCTCTGCCAGAAGCTTCCATTCCATCGACGGTTGCGTTGCGCCGTTCGAGGATCGGATCTGCTCAGACTGTCAGACAGCGTGGTTTTAGGGTTCCTGCTGCAGATTGGAGGAGCAAGGTAACGGGTGCCAACATGCACAGGATCGCACGAGGAGCGTATCGTCGTCTCGGCAGGTGTACAGATCCGTTGCTGTACTTGCATTGTTTTTTCTTTGAAAGATCCGGTTACCCAGCGTATAAACATTACTAAGCAGAAAGAGTTACAGGGGTTGGAATTCCTTGTTACAGGCGCGAGAGGTGCTAGACCCCACGCAGCAGACCGTTGTGCAGGTTCCCAAAATGTACACTAATTACTCATAGGGGGTTGAACAACTATTAGGGCTTTCAGAAATCCCCTCCTCCCTGCGGCAGCCACTCCATGTTGCAACTAAACTCCAAACTAGGCGAGAGAAAGGACACTCGACGAACAGATGGATCTAAGTTTCCAGGTTTCCTTTTACATAGGGCCCAAAAAATGAGAAATTTTACAATAGTCGGAGAAAACAAGTGCCATCCATCAAACAAAATCTAACAGTTAAGAAATAGAAGGTACCTATGTAAAAGTACCCAGAAGTATTACAAACGTGGGGACAATACTAAAATAGGTGGGCCAAGTACCAAAATAGGCGAGCCAACTTCAGAATGTTATTCTTTCTTTATATTCGGTTTGGGTTCAAAATGCAATTTCAGTATATTTGAACAAGGACAGATCTGTAACTTCCTATCCATGGTCTCCCCTCTCCGTTAGCTCTTCCCGGTTGTATCTGAATGGCAGGTTATCTAGGGGCCACGCCAAGCTGCACCCCCCGACAGCTTGCTGGCCGCAAGCATGAGCACGACACATGAGTCCTGCTCTGTGACCCGCCGGCAGGTTGACGAGGACGACGACGACGACGGCACGTCAAGCTCCCATGGCCGTCTATTCTCGATTTTTTTTTTGAGGAATAGTCTATTCTTGATTCAGTAACCCCGCTGACAGCAGCAGCCGCGAGCTCGGGCAAATGCACACATCGTCGCTTGCTTTTGCGGCCTTCACGGCACACGCAGCGCCGTCGTAGCTGTATGCGCCACCGTCGCCACAGCACGTGTCCAGGATTCCATGCCTGAACTGAATGCGTTGAAACAATTCTCTGACAAGTTTGACGTGGTACCATGGTGTTGTTGGCGATGACGGCCGCGGCGCCTGTGCTGCCTCTGCGTTGCGCCCCCGCCGCCGTCGGGCGCATCGATTGATGTCTGGGGTTGAGGGTGTGGGGCGGAGGCGGAGAGCGAGGCGGCCGTGGAGCAACTAGCGAGCGGCAACGGAGGAGGAAGAAGGTCAATTACCATTATGCCCCCAAACAATAATAATTAATTTTTAAAAATAATTGTCCTCATAAGAAAATAAGAAAAACAAAAGTACCGGGAAGTATCATGGTACTTTTCCAACCATTGTAACACAGCTAAAAAAAATGTTTTCTCACCCCTCAATTGCAAGTGTGCCGCCGTCCATACTTTGTCTAGAAGGAGGAGGAGCCGTGGGAAGAATTTACACCTTGGCGGTGCCCAGCCATTCTACATAAGCATTGGAAAATTTGAAAGGATGTGACCAACAAACTGAATGTCATAAGTTGACCTTGCATCCTCCTTGAGTACTTGCATTGTTCTCGCGACGACGTTTGATCCTCCTGATCTTAACAGAAGATTGTGAGAATAATGGAGGCAAATCTTATCGCTCTTCTCACAAGCAAGCAGCTGGCAGCGTTCCTCGTGTAAACTGAACAGAAGCTCAGTTTTCTTTCTGTCGTCGAGGGCCTGTTTACTAGTTGTATTTGAACCAACACAATCCATATGTATTAAGTGAAAAATGAACTAGTTTTTTCACTTCAATAATATGGTTTAGAAATTTAGAACACCGCCAAACAAGGCTTGAGACGGTGTGAGAGACTGAAGTTGACAAGACGTTTATACGTTGCTTCTGCACCCTTTAAGATGAGGCATTTATCCAAGTCTATTTAGCTTATAGTTTTTCAAACGGGCGGCACTAGCACTACACGACACTAGCACTACACGGCACGGCACTATCAGGCACGGTGTCACTACTGTACCGTGCCGTGTAGTGCCACCGTGCCCAGACTCTGGCCCAGGCACGACACTAAAGCCCTCAGATAGTGCCGTGCCGTGCCACAGGGCACGGCAGCTCAGCGGACTAGTGTCGTGCCTTGGCACTAAAACCACATCACCACTTCAACAGATCAGAATCAAAAGAACAGTTCAGCAGCAGTACGGCCGTAGAGTTCCTCGGCAGCACGACGGCTGAAGAGCTCCTCGGCATCCCCAGCGACATCGTCCTCGTCGTCTCCGGTCATCCCGCAGAGGCGCAGCTCGTCGTTGATGGTCATGGAGAGACCGATGTCCTCCTGCTCGTCCGACATCTCGTCGTCGCCGACCTCCGGTCCCTCAACGCCAACGCCTACCAAAACCAAGAACAACAAGAACACCTAGGATTAATAGAAGATCATGAAGAAATCAAGAAGAACAAAACGAACAGATCTAGGGTTACGACTCACCTCTCTTGACGGAGCACCAGAGACAACGGCGACGACGACGTCGCGGAGACCCGACACCTGGTACCTCAACGCATCGAGGCGGAGCCCCAATGATACCGGACTCGGCGAGGTCGATGAGAGCGACGAGACGAGACGAAGATTTAACGGTGGTGGATCTCGGCGAAAGCTACATCGACGGTCGGGGAGAAGGAAGAGTGGTGTAGAAGGCCGTGTCGTGTGCCCGTGCAAAGCAACCGCCGCCTTAACCAATGCCGGACGGCGGGAAGAAGAGAGGAGAGCGGCTAGGGTTTGATCGATGGGAGAGCTCGTCACGCCATGCGGTGGAATGGGGACGGAATGAGCTAGAGTTTGGAAAGGTGGGGAGCCAGGAGCGGCGGCTGGCTTATAAAGCCGTCCCACCCGACCCCTAGATCCAACGGTCAGCAGGCGGCGGGGGGGCTCCATCCAACGGCTCGAGGCGTGCCGCCCGTCTTGCGGCCGTTGAAGCGGGCCGTGCCGTGCCCGTGCCATCGTCTTTGGCATCGCGCCCGTGCATCGAACGCGGGCCGATGCGTGCTTTGGCACGAACACGGTAGCTGCCGGGCCGGGCTGTTTTCGTACCGGGCCACTTCGTACCGTGCTCGTGTCGGCCCAGTGGGCTTGGCCCGTTTGGAAAACTTTAATTTAGCTTCAGGTTTTCTTTTTTTTTTTTGGTGTGTGTGTGTGTCTGTACTGATTGCTCTGGTGAGAGCTACAGGTGGAATCAGTGGCGGCAAAAGTCCTAAAACGTATCTGTTGGCACGCAGCAACAAAACGATCGAATCCAAATCCAGGTCAGGCTCATATTTTGCGTGGTGACGACGGGGGCAGGCATTGGGGCTGCGAATCGATGCGAGGACCTTGCATTGCATTGCCGCTGTCATCCGTACAAAGTTGTAAACAACAAAACTGCAAGCACAGCTGTAAACCAACACGATATATATAGACTAACATAACAGTACCAGAAAAGTCTACGCCTTGATTTATTCTAAGTTTGAAGAGAAGATTCAATTCAAAGATACGGTGGGTGTGTAAGTAATCCTAACCATGCCGATTACGACCTGAAACCCCCCACATGGATCGAATCTGACTCGGCAAATTAAACCTGCTGTGTTGTGTATCTGATTGGGCTTGAATCGTACGTGGTGACACTGAACAGTGAATACGAATGCAATAATAATGCGACAACAAAGATAAACTAAACGAATCGATGGCGTGTGTTTACTTCCACTATTAGTAAACTGTACGGTTTCTACTGCTTGCACCACAAGTTTCAGTGGTGTACTGGTCCGTTTCTTAGCGAGTACTTATACACAAAAAAAAAAAGCTACAAGTGCCACAATCTGTAGATGCATACCGTACTCTACGGCCGGTTTGATGGTAGGAACCGGCATGCATGACATATATTTGGTTGCTAGCCACACTTTCTCTAAGTCATCAAGTTTGATCTAAGTTGACAAGTGTTTGGTTGGGAACTAAAGTTAGACAAGATTTTTTTTTTGGTCTTCACATGTCATATAATAAAAGAATATGGCAAAATTCTCTTAGACACGGCAAAGTGTGACGCTTTAAAGTTTGTAGCCACACTTTTTTTTGGCTTGCCACACTTTTTTGTGGCTTGGCTTGCCACACTTGCTTAAAATTAGCTGTGGCAAATTATAACCGTGAACCAAACAGCCCCGGCCCGTAATATGCTACTCGCAACGTCCTAAAAATAATACAATTTTAATATATAGTGTAGGATTAGATAATTTAAATTTTTTGATGAAATTCATATATAAAATGTCTTCGTACTTATGATACTAATAAAGTAATAAGTATCATTAAATAGGTCATATATTGTTACAGTATACATCTTTTCTATAAAATTTTAAACTTAAAATTGGTTTGATTAAAAGAAGAACTCTTTCAGACAGTAGCAATTAGATACGGAGTTGACCTTTTGTACTTAACGTCGACCATGACCTAGCTGGACAATGACAATACATTTGAACGCAAGAATCAACGATTTTGTTGGCGCCGCACCTTGGATGCGGTACGGTCAGTAGAAACCTAAGTAGTAGTACTCAGCAATATATATACCTATTGGCGTCACAAAAAAATTCAGGCATCCTAATCTCTCCGCCGTTTTCGTTGAGGTTATAGCTATCATGCATTGTCACGCTTGTGTCACTACTACGTATGTAATAAATTTATTTATTTACTGAATCCTTGTTCCTTTGTTCTTCTCTTCGTTTTTCTTTTCTGGGTCCAACGTAATTAGTAATTTCTATTATGCGGTAGGTTTCTTTGGAACCGGTTTCCCATGACTCAGTTTTTTTTTTGAAAAGCCATGGGGCACACTTTATTAATTATCAAACAAAATTACATCGTTCACCGTGACTCAGTTTGTGGCATTGGTTGGGGCTCATTCTTTTCCTCTACCTACACTTACTACGCCCTCTGTTCCAAAAAGAATGGCCTTATAAGATTTAGCCAAAGTCAGACTATGTTGAACTAAGTTTGTATACAAAAATATGAACATTGATGACAGCAAATAGATAATACTATGAAACTATATTACATTTAATGGTACTAATTTGATATCACTATTTTTTTTGTGAAACTTGCAACAATTTATATCTGACTAAACCTATAAGACCATTCTTGGAGAGAGTACAATATTATTAGTCATATTCAGTATAAAATCATCCAAAAGGATAATATTTTTCCTCTCAGATGGTACACTGTAGCGCTGTACCAGAAGAATCTCAGTTTAGCAATAAAGTATGCTTGGAAGTACGTACTGACCAGCATGACGCAACCACCAATGAGCTCACTACAACAATGCAAGCTGCAAATATAATAATATAATATAGTACAGAGGAAATCAAAACTCTGTTGATTGTGTGAAAAGAAAGAAAAAAAACACGTGCCACTAGTAGTCCAGTTGGGCCTTGTTCAGATGTCATCCAAATTCTAAGTTTTTTCACTCTCTCTCCGTCACATCAATTTTTAGCCATTTGTATGGAGTATTAAATATAGATAAAAAAAATAACTAATTACACAGTTTAGTTGGAAATCACGAGATGAATCTTTTGAACCTAGTTGGTCCACGATTGGACAATATTTGTCAAATAAGACGAAAATGGTACTATTTATTGGATTGAAAAAATTTGTAAAGTGAACCAGGCCTTGATAGTTTTTATGGTAGCTGGCAAAGAATCTTCCTTTACTTTGGAGATACACATGACCTGACCTGCAAAACAAAAAATCAACGCTAGTAGCCACGCAGAAAAGTCTGAAAAGCTGGCAAATGGTCATGGACCTACACTACCCTTCACAGCGACAGGCAACGAACTTACTCAACTGTAGCTCCAAGAATATTCAAACGCCCGTGTGAAGTGCCCCCAAAGATTCCATTCTCCCTACTACCCTTCCGGACACAAGAATCTCCTCTTGAGTTTTTGTTTTCAAATTACATCAAATAGACACAGACGTTCACAACAGGGACGCAGTACAGCCGTCTCGCTGCCAATGGATATGCCATCTATTGTAAAAATAGCTTTGTTAAATTCTAGAGTAACTTCAGAAAATACAAGCACTTGCTATGGTGTGTGGAGAAGCCCAGTGTGGTAAAATTATTTTTTCTGGCTTCATCTTTTCGAGTTATTTTTTTTAAAAAAAGAGAATTTTAAAACAATTTATTAGTACAGCAATATTCTCTAGAGATTGGAGTCGCACACGCTGGCCACTAACTTCACCACCCCCGCACGCGCTCTATCTATATAGCTGCCAAGTCGTCCATGGGTTGGGGAGTCCGCAGCTTCTTCACTTCACAACTAACTCCAATAAGCAGCGAGAGGAGAGAGTCGTCGTCGTCGTCGAGGTCGTCGGCAACATGTCGTCGTCCGTGACGATGCCACTGGCGTACCAGACGTCGGCGCAGTCGCCCGACTGGCTGAACAAGGGCGACAACGCGTGGCAGCTGACGGCGGCGACGCTGGTGGGGCTGCAGAGCTTCCCTGGCCTGGTGGTCCTCTACGGCGGCGTGGTGAAGAAGAAGTGGGCCGTGAACTCGGCCTTCATGGCGCTCTACGCGTTCGCCGCCGTGTGGATCTGCTGGGTGACCTGGGCCTACAACATGTCCTTCGGCGACAAGCTGCTGCCGCTGTGGGGCAAGGCTCGCCCGGCGCTGAACCAGGGTTACCTCGTGGGGCAGGCCGACCTCCCCGCCACGGCGCACTACTTCGCCGACGGGACCACCGAGACCCCCGCCGCGGAGCCGCTGTACCCGATGGCGACGGTGGTGTACTTCCAGTGCGTGTTCGCGGCCATCACGCTGATTCTCGTGGCCGGGTCGCTGCTGGGACGGATGAGCTTCGCGGCGTGGATGCTGTTCGTGCCGCTCTGGCTCACCTTCTCCTACACCGTCGGCGCCTTCTCCGTGTGGGGCGGCGGGTTCCTCTTCCAGTGGGGCGTCATCGACTACTGCGGCGGCTACGTCATCCACCTCTCCGCCGGGTTCGCCGGCTTCACGGCGGCCTACTGGGTGGGTCCCCGGGCGCAGAAGGACAGGGAGCGGTTCCCGCCCAACAACATCCTGTTCACGCTCACTGGCGCCGGGCTGCTGTGGATGGGGTGGGCCGGGTTCAACGGCGGCGGGCCGTACGCCGCCAACGTGGTGGCGTCCATGTCGGTGCTCAACACCAACATCTGCACCGCCGTGAGCCTCGTCGTCTGGACCTGCCTCGACGTCGTCTTCTTCAAGAAGCCCTCCGTCGTGGGCGCCGTCCAGGGCATGATCACCGGACTCGTCTGCATCACGCCCGCCGCAGGTGATCCCATCGCCCCTGCCTCTGATGATCTGCGTGCGCCGTTCTCGTGCTGCCAATTTTTAAAATTTTCTCCTCCTCGATCGGGGACAAGGACGTGTTGGTGTGATGAACGTAACCGCGTGCTCGCTTTAGATTCTTATTAAGACTGACGACTACACAAGTATACACATGCATGATGCATGTCCTGGCTAGCAAGTAGCAAGACTAGTATGCAGGCGCTGAATGGTTGACTTTGAATTCAAAAAATGGTTTTGGCGTGCCCAGCAAAACGGGAGGCGGACATGCATGCATGTGGCCACTGCCACTGCCGACGTACGATATGCATTTGCATTGCGTTTACCATGGTGTGGCTAGGGCCCCGTTTCGCAGAGCTTCACTTCACTAGCGAAGCCATTTTTTTTTAGCTTCAGCTCTACGAACAGCTCTACCAGTGGAGCTGAAGCGGTTTTGGTAAACCATTTGGCAAAATGGCTTCCCTGTGAGAGCATGTTTTTAGGGGCCTGGAGGAGGAGCCGGGAGAAGCCACTATTTTTGGCTCCTTCTCACCCCCAAGCTCTGTGAGAGCACGTTTTTAGGGGCTTCATCGGTAGAGCCGTTTTATTTTCCCCTGTTTGACACAAAACAACTCTAAGCGGCTCCTGAAGCCGCTGGAGAAGCCCTACCAAACGGGGCCTAAGAACCAATGAAGCAACTTGCATGCGGCAGTAACGCAGTATTAGTAGAGTACTCCTTTTTTTGTTGTTTCAAAAATGTGAAACTTGTCTGCCTAGGTTTTTCTGACAGAGTTTTCTAGAAAAAGAACGCAACAGAATATATTATTAGTTTTAATTTGTTAGATGTAACATGAAATATGCCTTAATAGTACACATTAATCTAATTGGTATTGCAAGTGTTGATATTTTTTCTAATATAATTGTAATCAAAATTACAAAAAAAAATACTTATAGATGACGTACTCCCTCCATCGCAAATTATAAGTCAGAGAGTCAAAGCATCTCGAGTTTGACCAAATCTATATAATAAAATAACAATATTTATGATACCAAATAAGTATCATTAGATTCTTCATTAATCATATTTTCATATTATACTTATTTGATGTCATAAATGTGTGTAACTCTCTCTGTAATTTTGGTCAAATTTAAGATATTTTGCTCTCAAGTTGAAATAATTTATAATTTGGAGTGGAGGGAGTATGATAAAAAACAAACTATATTTTGGAACGAACGAGAGTACGAGAGATGTTCTTATAGAAGGATGGCTCGATCGGTACAATTACCATGGTGACCTCTGTTGCTGGTGCACCTTAACTCAAATCTCCTGATCAGGTTTCTTATTAGCCGTTGGTCCGCTTCAAGTTGACTATTTCGTACCGATAATAACTAATAATAGTTATGTATAAACTAATGACGCTAAGCTTGTAGTTATTATACTAATTGAGGTTCCAATGCGATGCAACGCCATATGCAGAGAGTATGCACAGAATCTTCTTCTTTTTTTCCCTTGATGTGAGTGGTAGACATATATAAAAATAAAATACTGAGCCGCACAGTTCCGTCAGGAATATCAGGAATCTCTTGTGTGCCAGTTTGTCGTACCTGCTTAACTTGCTTTTGTCAGTCAGTACTTATCAGTAAAGTCAAAGTCAAATCTTGTCTCTTTTTTACCTTTTCTTTGCACACTACGGCCTTGTTTAGTTCGCGGTTAGGAATCGATATCGGATACGGTAGCATTTTCGTTTATATTTGACAATTATTGTCCAATCATAATCTAACTAGACTCAAAAGATTCGTCTCGTAATTTACAATCAAACTGTATAATTAGTTATTTTTTTATCTATATTTAATACTCCATGCATGTGTCCAAAGATTTGATATAATAGAGAGAGAGTAAAAAAACTTAGAATCTAAACAAGGCCTACTACTTGTGGACAAAGTTACAATTAATTATGACACCGAAAGGAAAACAAAACGCAACTTGTTTGTCAATTGCGACGTTCATACTTCACTGTCTGCTGTCGGCATTATATAAGTATAATTGCGCCTAATTCCTGTAATAATGACGATTTTCTTGCACGCATGTAAACTTGGTTTAATTTGCCAACCATATGCAGGCGACGGCCCCAATTCATAATACGGCGAACTAGCAGTAGACATCTTCTCTAGTTGGGCCAGGGTTTTTGTTTTCGGAGTGCCTCTAGTCTAAGTCTTTTTACCTATTTTCTTTCGAACAGTTGTTTTTTTTTTCTACTATTTTGCTGGTTTCCGTTTGATTAGCAGGGGACGCTGGGTGTAAATAGAGAGTTGTATTTGCTCTTTTTTTCTTTTTATATCGTCTAATAAAATGCACCGCAAAGCTTTTGCCGCCGGGAAAAAAATATGCAGGAGATATCTATCTGACGGTACGGTGTGCATGCATGCAGGTTTGGTGCAGGGTTGGGCAGCCATGGTGATGGGCGTGCTGGCCGGCAGCGTCCCCTGGTACACGATGATGATCCTGCACAAGCGGTCTCGGCTGCTGAAGCACGTGGACGACACGCTGGGCGTCATCCACACGCACGGCGTGGCGGGGCTCCTGGGCGGCATCCTCACGGGGCTCCTCGCCGACCCCACCCTGTGCGCGCTCTTCCTGCCCGTCACCAACTCCCGGGGCGCCTTCTACGGCCGCGCCGCCGGCGGCGCGCAGCTCGGCAAGCAGCTGGCGGGGGCGCTCTTCATCATCGGATGGAACGTGGTCGTCACCTCGATCATCTGCGTCGCCATCAACGCCGTCGTCCCGCTGCGCATGACCGAGGACAAGCTCGAGGTCGGCGACGAAGCCGTCCACGGCGAGGAGGCGTACGCGCTCTGGGGCGACGGCGAGCTCTACGACGTCACCGAGCACGGCCCGCGCGGCGCCGCCGCTGTCGCGCCCGTGTCCACGACCCCGAATTGAACTAGTTGCTAGTTGTGCATTGTTAGTGTTGCTCGACGATCATGTATATTGCTCCATCCATCCATGGCATGAATGCATTGTGTTGATGACCATCCGTGACTAGGCATTGTTCGTTTTTCTTCTTCTGAATCAAACGTGGCTTGTGCATGTAAAATACGTTCTTTTTTATCCTTGTAATACTTACTACAGATGAGAAACATGTGAATTTACAAGCATGCATGTAATCATCAAAGTAGAAGAAGTTTGCATTCAGATCTTCAAAAAATTTGGCAGATTGTTATCTTGGGGTTCCTATTTTTGGAGGACGTACGTGCAGTGCAGCAGCGGCATTTCCTGCCGTCCTCACGAACGCGGCTATAACACGCACGCATCGCCCAGATCCATCGGTTTTCTGGGCGGCTCACTGGACGAAACTAGCTAGCTACCGCGCATCCATCCTGCCATGAAGCGTTCGGCGGCGTCCACCGTACCCCTCGTCCTCCTCCTCCTCCTCGCCGTCGTGAAGGCGTCTGCCGCCGCCACCGGCGGCAAGGCCGACGCCGCGGAGGCAGAGCACGCCGCCAACTACCTCGTCTACGTGGACCCACACCCCACGGGCGTCGACTGCCAGGTGTACTAGCTCGGCATCCTCGCCGCCGCCCTCGGAAGGTACGTGCACCGCCGTCGATCTTTGAATTGCATGCATCGTCGGAACGGAAACCTCATCGTGATCCATGATGCATGATCTATCTGATGTGCAGTGAGGCGAAGGCGAAGGCGGCGATCCTGTACAACTACAGGAACGTCATGAGTGGGTTCTCGGCGAGGCTCACGCCGCCGGAGCTGGAGGCCGTCAAGAGTAATTATGCTTTTATCTATCTGTTTATTTATGTATGTATGGATCACCACGGCAGGAATCATCACTGATTATTGCTTGTTTTGTGGATGGAGAGCAACCTCAGGTGAACCGGGTGCTCCCGAGCGCGACCTTGTCTCTGATGAGCAGCAAGTTCGACGGCGTCAGCTAATCCCGCTTTTCTTCCAGCAGCCAACGAGCGCATCCATCGCCAACCCTAAAATAAATCTCATCTTTGAATTTGTTTGTGGGTGTGTGATTAGTTGCTTGCAATAAACCTTGTACAACACAAAAAGCCAGCATATAAACGCGTATACACTGTCTTCGTGTTATATGCGGTATCGTGCACATGCAACCTTAATTAGTTTCGTAAAACTTTATATGTTTTTGTTTTATATATGTTGTGTTGCATGGAGTCACCTCCATGTTATATTAGATGTCTCATGGTGTCTAATGTTTTACCTAGTGTTGTGCCTTGTAGAAAAAAAATTAATTAGGCATTTAGGCTATTTGACCCCTCTCCCCTCCTGGCCTATCGTCCCATCACCAACCCCGTCTAACCGTCCAAAAGATCTGCTTGCGGCAACTCCCATGCCGTCTGCACCTGCTTTGAGATCAAAGCGGCGGCGGCGGCTTCTCCCACTCCAACACGACGGAGCTGATGTGCCGAGAATCGAAGAACACTTCTTCCTTCCAACAGTGTGCTGCTGCCGGTGCTTCCAGATTTCGATGTCAACATGCATGTGCCACAATACACAGGGGAAGATCGATGGGAAGGCGGACCACGCGCGACGGGAAGAACAGTGCACCGCACATGATTAAGAGTTAAGACTGTTCCTCGTCATTTAGTGCATACTAACTACGTGTGGTGTGTGTGTGTGTGTGTGTGTGTGTGTGTGTGTATATATATATATATATATATATATATATATATATATAGAACTACTGTTCTAAAGCTGGCCATAGAATAACTTATTCTGTGGCCACTTTAAGTTACGATAGTTACTATGCTAATTTACGAGACTACAGTAACTCTTTACTAAGTGATTTACTATAACATTATGGTAAATATCACCGTGAATTGTAGTAACACAAGTATCGTAAATGCATATTCATGTTATCGTAAATTGGTATAAACATTATCGTAAATCAAGATGGCTATAGAATAAGTCTTACCCTATATATATATATATATATATATATATATATATATATATATATATATATATATATATATATATATATATATATATATATATAAAAAAAAAAAAAATGTATTCTCCATCTGAGCCTGCATAAGGAAAAGCATAGACCACACGTGGCATCTCTGACTGCACCTTATTACAAGACCCATAACTATAACAGAAGCTAAGCAAAATATTGTGAAAGACCAGTCGATCAAGCTCAGGCGCTACTCAGTCGTTGAGCTCTCCATCCATGTCACTGTCCAGGTCCTCGTCCTCCTGCAGGCGACGTGGAAGGTTATGCCAAATATCAACACCTAAACCGCTAGTGGATGCGTATGCATACTCCAATCCCTGCCACAATTTTTCAATTCCTCCATGACCCAACCCACTATAATATGATAACTCAATAACATACTCCAACATGAAACAAGGAAATCGATGAGCCATTACCTAAAAAAAGGAAATCGATGAGCGTGGAGTGCAATGTGAGGCTTCCAATAGAATCCAGCATGAATTCTGAGTTCTGCCTACGCAGGGACAGAAACGGTTGGGTATGGTTCAGATAGCACTAGAGGTTCCTGCGAGAACCCCTGGCACTATTTGAGTATTCGAATACGGATACGGTATCGGATGTTGAATATTTAGACTTGGATACGAACAAATTTAAACCTCACTAAATGAATTCGGTCTCGAATACGATCGGAAAATATCCATACCATTTTCATCCCTAGCGGTCAAAGTGAGCTGGCCCAATCAACCTAGCGAGAGTGCAAGACATGGGTGATGCTAAGAGGTGCCTGAGTTCATGCATGCATCTCAAGCCGGGCTGAAGGCATATCATGTTATATATGGGCCTCTTTGAGATGGGTATCCCACCAGGAAGTTCCTGGTTAAAGACGGGATACCAAAGAATCAGTCAAGAAAAGGCTCCTACCAATTTCAACCTCGTGTCCTCCTGATGGTTCCCAGTTTTGCACTGATTTTGGATTGTTATGAAGAAATGGGATACAGTCAGGATAATAGTAAATGGGATACCCCTATGCCCCCACATACTCCAAAGATATCTGAAACTACAGTCGAATTGGGAAACAATACTCTAGAAAAAAAAAGCATGATTGCATCGTTTTACTGAATGGTGGCTAATCACTAAAAGCGCACAAAAGTAAAGGGTCATTTCTCAAGTCTGGAAAACTGGGGTATGGAATCAAAGAATGCAAAGAAACAGTGGTATGTATCTTCTGTGGAGAATATTGTCACCTGACAAAAGGATGTGTATGGCCAAGCTAATCACTAAAATCTATATAATCATAAGAATATTGTCATGTGACAAAAGTTTGATCATAACAAGATGGGATATAGTGGTTTGAGTTGGAAAAGGGGTTTTACCTGATGCTTGACAGGAACTAGAGAAGCGGACGGCTATAGACTGCGGTGTATATAAACTCTGAGTCTTGACGTTAGTTCCTAACCATGAGAGGGGTCAAGTACTAATTGAGAGCACTGGGTTAAAGTATCACCTGGTGGGTGTTACGAATAAAGGGGGACTGAACTGGACTGTCGTATTGAGGCCCAATAGGGGAACTATATATAGAATATATGGGGACACAGGAGAGAAACCCTAGACTAGGGAGATTACATTAATACCCTTAACAGTGGGAATAAAGTTGGTGTTACATAGGCAACTTTTGAAGTTGGGGGAAACAAAGGATTATAGGTTTTCTGTCAAATTTTTAGTTATACATAAAGCAAATGGGTTCAAGATTTCATTTGGTGAACTGGTGTATGGTGTTGCAAGAAGAGGACAAAGAGCAGATTCAAAACAATCAATACTGATAGATGGTGACTTCGATATCATAAAAAAAGATTATAAGTACATATCTAGATGGGGTTCTAAGTGGATTTTCCTTTTTATGATAATTGAAACAAAAGATTTAAGGGCTCGTTTGTATCCTTGGAATTGAATTCATTCTAATAATTATAATTTAGACATAGATTAATTAAGCTAATATAGTTATATATGGAATATATTTATATATTTATTGTTAGGCATACAAGGGACATACTTATATGTTGTATTTTTATTGTAGGAAAGTGAGTTAAAGAGTGTGTTATAAGTTGTAGAATAGAATTATAACATAGTGATCTATAGAATCTATTTCCATCTCCCACCCTATGAATTTGAGATAGTCTTATTTGTGAGCTTGAGAAAGTTATGGAATGTCAAATTCTAAACCAAATAGCCTAATCCATTAAGTAGATTTCAATTCTCACAAAATGAAGGGATCCAAACGGTCCTAAGTGAAATTGATTTAATAGAAAACGAACTGTGCTTGTTCTCCAGATAACCCTATCTACGAGGTGCTATACAAATAAATCAAGGTCCTTTTATGATAAAAACTATGTTGGTTCACAGGGGAGGAATTGTCTGAGGTGGTAGAAAAGATTTGGCTAACTCATTCATAAGGAATCCAATCATGTAAACTGAAAAATGGTAGGACAAACAGAAAAGACTGAGAAGTGATTTGAGGAGTTGGGATGTACTTCTTAAAAACTTGATGATATATAGATAAAAAATAAAAAGGTTGAAACTATTGGTAAGCCTGAAATCTATAAGATAGAAGTTTGCAACCCAACAAAAAGTTTCTTTACCTTGAACAGAACCTGAGCTTGAGTTGAAGCTCTTCTGCATTTTAGTAACTCATTTAAAAAAAAGGTTGAAACTATTGGTAAGCCTGAAATCTATAAGATAGAAGTTTGCAACCCAACAAAAAGTTTCTTTACCTTGAACAGAACCTGAGCTTGAGCTGAAGCTCTTCTGCATTTTAGTAACTCATTTAGTGGGTCGTCCTGAGAAACTGGGCATACATCCACAGACAATGTGCGAAGAAGGCTTGCTTTATAGAGAATAAGCTTCATAAAAGACAATGGAAGCCACGGAATATAACTATTTATCTGCACAACTTGAAGATTGCCACACATGCCATCAGTCCACTGTGCATCGGTCCACTCCTCACTTAGGATGCCAGAATTTGTAACACATTCTGGCTCCCAATCTTGAACCTTCGCCAATAAAAGTAATAAAGAAAATCAGTTGGCAGCAGCAAGATGACTTTTAGAAACATAATGATGAATGTCCAAAAGATAGCGTTCAACATTACCTCAATTTTAAGTTTTTCAAGGTTTGGGGAGCTCCTCAACAAGGAGAACAATAGCAAAATGGGGTGCATCTCAACAAAGTGTGTTTCTATTGCCAAGCTCTTTAAGTTGTGAAAGGTGAATGGAATTGTATCTATCTTAACCACATTGCCCTGAGAGAGAAAAAAGATGTGGTAGTAAAATGAAAACATACAAAACTGAATGCAAGTGTAGAAAGATGGATGAGATCTGTAGTATTGTTTTCAAACAAGGGAGCATAAGCCCACAAAAGCAGTGCAGGAATGGTACCATAAAACATTACTCCTTTATTAAGGCAGCATTTCAGACTATTTTGTTAAGTCAAGGAAACAAAGTTCACTACTCCCTCCATCCCAAATCATAAGTCATTCCAAGAATCTTGGAGAGTCAAAGCATCTCAAGTTTGACCAAAATTATAGAAAGAATTACAAAGATTTATGACATCAAGTAGATATGCTATGAAAATATACTTAATGAAGAACCTAATGATACTTAGTTAGTATCATGAATGTTAGTATCTTATTATATAAATTTGGTCAAACTTGAGATGCTTTGATTCTGTAAGATTTTTAGAATAACTTATAATTTGGGATGGAGGGAGTACTTATTATAGAATTATGATTTGAGTATGAGGCAAGTACTAGTGTTTCTACCTTGATCGTGCTGGTTCATAAGGGTATGGGACGTGCAATTACTCAGACACCTGAGCTTGCTGGAGCCTCAATAAAATCTTACATTAGAAGCTAGTTCATACCTGATTTTAAAATCTCATTTGTTAGACTCAATTACATGCATGGCTAAGGCCTATGTA